GCATGCCACCCCCTTCTCGCCTCCACTGTCCTCTCGGTCCCGTCCTCCTTATCTCAGAGGACGCTCTCGATAAACCTCCACTGCAGCACTTACCCTGTGATGACGAGGATGTATCAGTGGGTTTGGGCTGCCCGCCTCCCCCACCCTTTATTTGTTTATCCAAGCACCTAGCATGCTGTCCTTGACTCATAGTGGGTATTTAATAAATGTTTGAATGAGAACAAGTAAATGAACCAACTGGAAGTCTGTGGAGCCAGCATCTCTGAGGCATCCCCGCCCTCCTCTCTAACGCCCCTGTGGGGGTGCCAGACCACACACCCTATTCTCCACCCACTCTGAGCTGCCCCCGCTCATCACCACAATGGAAAGGCTCAGGGGTGCTCACACCTACGTGAGGAAAACCTTTATCAGGCACTTGCTGGGCTCCAGGAGTGGCACTGAGCTTTTATCTGGAATGTTCAGCTTTATATACCACCATGGCGCTTGAAGCTGAGCTTATTCATACTCCAAACAGGAAAACTCTTCAAGCCTCTGCTTCCTTCTTGAAAAAGCCTAGCCAGAGGGGCAGGACGGCTGCCTGGGAGGTGCGTAACAGGATCCACAGGCAGCCGGGCCAGGAAGCTGACCTCACAGCACTGGCCACGTGGGGATTCTGGGAGCACACGCAGAGCAGCTCGTGCTGGAAATCAGGCCTCATGAGCCCTGGCTGCTTAGGACAGGATGTCCCATGCTTGGAACAATGGGCACAGGACAGCGACACATGCCTGTGCAGCCAAAGTCCCCCCCCAAGTCCAGTGCCCTGGCAGGACAGGCTGAGAACACAGGGCCTGATCAGAGCGCCGAGCCTGTGCTGACCACACGGACATCCTTCCTGAGCCTCTCAGCATGTGAGCGCACCTCCGCACGCAGTCCTACATCTTCTCACAAGGCCACCAGGCTTTACAATTGGCAGAGGGTTTTCATATTAGCTGCCCTGAAGCTCACAAATGCCCATCAAAAAAGGAAGGTGCGTTGTGAGGAATATGGGGAAACTGAGGCCGTGCGAGAGGAAAGGGCAGGTGTTGCTTGGCTGCTGGACTCAAGTTTTCTTCCCCAGACTCCTGAACCGCACTAGGCAGAGGGCCTGCACATAGCAGGCACTTAATAAGTGTATGAGTAAAGACCGAACGGAAGTAGGGGTCAAGTCGAATGTCATTTCCGCCTTCCATCGGGACCTCCAGGGTTGCCCTCAAAACAAAATGTTGCTCTAAATGTTCACTCTGACCCAGCTCGTCCCTAACTTTCCTAGGCGGGTGAGGAATGAGGTAGAGCTCGTTCCGCCACCCCGCGACCCAACAACACTGCTACATTCATCCAACATCCCCTGAGCACCAGGCACCTCCCAAAGTCTTTGAGGTAATTATCATATTCAGTCCTCAAGACACTCATAAGAGAAGGTATACTTCTCTCATATTACACCCAGGAAACTGAGGCACAAGAGGTTATGTAACTTCCCAGATCTGAACCCAATTAGTTGGAATCCAGAGCACCAGCTGGTCATCCTCAGACTGGCTTCAGGAGAAAGTCTGAATGGAGAGTGGCTGATGAGGCTTGATTTTCAGTCTCCTGTCCTCCAGAAGGTAAAGCCCTCATCTAAAACTGCAGCCTTTCATATGAACCAGAGCAAACTGGTCTTTCAAAAAAGAACAAGGTATCTCTTTCATTCACTCTGCTCAGCTGAAAGCAAACTTCCCCTGAAGTGTTGCTGGAGTTCCCAAGGACAGGAGACACTGATAACTTTGGGTTGGTGGCATGGTACAGGTGGTCCATTTTATGGTTCACTCTATAAATACTTATCGAGGACCTACTCTATGTCAGGCATTGTTCTAATTGCCGAGAACACATTGGTGAACAAAACAGACAAAAATCCCTGCCCTCCTAAAATCTGTATTTTAGAGAGGGCTATAAATAATAAAGAAGATAAAAGAGCAAAATATATACATAGGTTTTAGATAATGATTAGTTGCTAAGAAGAAAAATAAACCAGAAAAGGAACATAGGAAGTGTCCAGATAGAGACTGAAATTTTAGATAGGATGAACAGGGAAGTCCTCACCAAGAACTTGACCTTGAATAAAGACTTAAAGGAAATGAAGGCAAAAGTCCTATAGATATGTAGGTGAAGAGTTTTCCAGGCAGAGGGGAGAGCAAGTGCAAAGGCCCTGGGGCTGGAGCATGCCTGGTAAGTTCTAGGAACAGCAAGGAAGCTGTTCCGTGAAGTCAGAGATAACGAGGCCAGGAAGGCACAGTGAGAGAAGCCACTGCAGGGTTTGGAGCAAAGGGAGTGACATTTTAACAGATCACTCTGGCTGGTTGTGGAGTATATAGGCATCCAGGATAATCTCACAGCTTTGGCCTGAATGACTGAAAGCATACTGCCATTCCTAAAGATGGGAAAGTGAGTGGGAAGGAGGGTGGGGAAAGAATGAAGTGGATATCAAGAGCTTAATTCTAAGAACTTTACGTTGGAACTGCCTAAGTTTCAGGTGTTAAGTGGACTAGACATGTGAGTCTATCATTAAGAGAAAAGGTCTGGACTGGATGGGACTGGAGATATAAATTTGAGAGTTGTCAGGATAGAGATGGTGCTTAAGGCTATGAGACTGGATGAGATCACCAAAAAAAAAAAAAAGAAAGAAAGAAAAGGATGGACAGAAAAAAAGAAGTTGTTTAAGGCATGGACCTGTTAAAATGTTCTCCTAGGCACCACCCTCTACAAAGTGAAGCTGGTAACACAGGCATCTTCTTCACTACAGCTCATGTGCACACACACACACACTTAAATTCCTCCTTTATTACTGACGTCATTCTGCTGAGTGAGAAGGAAATTCCCTTTTAGGGATACTGTCATTGAACAAGAAAGTAACCAACGGAAGGGAGAAGCACTAAGACAACAGTAGTGACCTTTACACAGCAGGACAATCATACAGGCTCTAGTGTTATAAAGTGCTGTATTCAGATTCCAGCTCCAACCTGCATAAATTGTTGTGACCTCAGGCAACTCACTTGCCCTCTCTTCCTTATGTTAAATGGCAATAACATTGGCTACATCAAAGATAGTTTAGAACACAGTAAATAGTCCATTAATATCTGTTAAATAAATGAGAATGAATGAATGGTAAGGATAACATATAAGAGAAGCTGATTCATAGTGAATGATCAATAAATACTGTCAAATGCTAAGTGAAAGTCAATGTACCTTCTACTTGTCTTTCTCTCCTTGTTTTGTTCATTCTACCTCTTTCCTTTTCCTGCCTATGACACAATAGCAAAACCATGCATTTGTACAGGATCATACTGGTTACAAAGCTTTGCCTTCTACATTATCTCAAAATTTGAACCTCACAGCAGCCTTATGAGGGCAGGAAATAGGAACCCATCACAGATGAGGAAACTGAGACTTGGGTGGAAAATAGCCTCTGAACTCCAGGAACATTTTGAGGCAGAGACAGTAATAAAAACACTGCATTCAGCCCAAGGGTGGAGCATCTGTGTTGCCAAACCAAACCTGCCTAACATCCTGTTGGGCGGGTAAGAGGCAGGTGAGGGAAAGACACAGAAGCTTAGGGGAAGGGAAGGTATTTGTTTGGTAGTCCATTAAAAAAATGGGCACAGATCCCTGAGCCCTGTGCCCTCCCTGTCCCACACCCACAGGCCTGCCCATCCTGGTCACATGGTCACATGGGTGACACGCATACCGCCACCAGCTTCCAGGTCATCTGTGGGAGCAGGAGGTGAACAGAGGATTGGGGCGTTGGGAGACTCTGGGGTGAGGAAGCTATGGGGAAAGAGGAAGTAGGAGAGTAGGCATGGATGAAATCTGGAAGTACATGAGACAAGAATCAGGGAATTAGAAAAGGGGAAGAGTAAAATGGAGAACAGGGGAGACAAATGGAGGTGAAGTGGGGATCAAACGGGAATACACAGAGGCAGAAAAATTGAGATCACTTAGAAAAAAACAGGAAGGAAGCTGGGGACAATCAGTGGGGCCAGAGTGAAAGTTAGGGTCACTGAGGGACACTGAGAGATGGGGGAAGAGAGAGAGGACTTGATTCATGAAGTTAAGGATAGAGAGGGGAGACAGACAGGGGAGACTGGGGAGACTGGGGTACTGACCGGGGACTCTGGGTCGAAGCTGGGGTCCCGGGTGGGGCACGGGATGGGAGTTGGGGACGCTGGGGAGGTCAAAGGGCGGAACATGGTATTACTCAGGAATCACACAAGGGTCAATGGACGACATGCCTCAGAATCAGGGAACACGGGGTAGGTGCGAAGAAGGGATCAGGTGAAGATCATGAAGTCTGGGGCGCGGAGGCAGTTTGGGGAGGGCCCCCCAGGCCCCGCCTCCCCTGCGTCGTCACTCACCTCGGCTTACTCAGCACTTCTACCTCCTTCTACTTCCGCAAACAAACGAGCCCCGGGTCTCTTGACGGCCCGGCCGCCGCTCTCCGCCAATCACCGAAGGCCGTGCCTACCTGCAGCCCCGCCCCCGCGCCGCGATCGCTGCGCGCGCGGAAGGCGGGGGCGGGGCTCTGCCACCTTTTATAACCGCCCAATGGCAGGGGCTCCGATCGCCGAGCGAGGCCGGGCTGTGGGATGCAGCCAATCTTCGCTGGCGGAGCGCGGCCCTGTCTGTGCGAGGGGGAAGGACCACGTGACGGCTTTCGGCAGACATGTTGATGAGAGGCAGAACTCTTACCCTTTTCCCCCTTCTGCTTCTTTAAAAGATGGTAGGTCTGAAATCTGAACCTACTGTTAATGATGGCTCATAAAGATAAAACTAAAACCAACAAAGACAGAAGACATAACAGGGAGGAGCCTGCTTTGATTTTGCCAGGTACCCCCTAAGCTAGGGTTGCCAGATTTAGAAAATAAAAACAGAGATGCCCAGTTAAATTCTGCCCATTTAAAATTGAATTTCAGTTGAACAATCAATAATTTTTTGTTTAAGTAAAAAATACTAAGTATAGTTATGCTAAAAAAAAAAAAAAATTACTCATCGTTATCAGGCAGCCCTACCCCAAGCCAATCTCAGGAACTAGCTTAGCACTTTTTGTAGAAACTTAGGCAAATAACTTGGTCTCTGAATTTGTCTGAGAAGTGAGCACAGTAAAACCTCACAGGGTTGTTATGACGGCAACGATAAAATAGTTCCTGTTCCTACACATAGTGGGATTTCAATAAATGGTGGTGGTTATGATTAGTAATACTGAGAATGAGGTAGGCTGGAAAGAAGGGAGGGTTTCCGCTTCTGATTGAGCAGATCATGTTCCCTCTCCAGCCGACCCGGCTTGGTCGAACAACTCTTATTCCCTAATGATCCCCCAACCCTAGGTCTGGATGGATTCTTGAAACTGCGCTCTGTCCATGTGAGAAGTGTATTAGTGCCCAGACTGGGGACAGTCAGTGCAACTGGAGCAAGAATTAGTTAAGAATCTAGACAGGTTAATAGAATAACCATAGTAACTAATGTTCGTACAGAGCTTTACCAGTTACAAAGTAACTGGACTTCACATCCATCATCATTGGGTTGTTACTCTTGTCAGCATTTTGCAGATGTTGACATAAGAAATGTCCAAACCTTTAGACAAAATTTTAAGTGTGCGTTTGAACCAAGCTGATGACATATGCTGGAGAGCAAGACATCAAATACTCTCAAGAATAACAGTTTTGCAGTTTCTTTTATGCATTTGATATTAAGGAGGGACCCTAAGAAAGATTAGAGAAAGTAAGGTGGGGATTCAATTACAGAATAGTTAAGATTATGTGCTCTCTTGAGGATTAATACTTCCTTCTAGGGGTTTTACTTCTGATATTTCAAAGGTATGTTACTTAGATGCACAAGAACAATAGACAGGGCTGGCTTAGAACCTTTCACCAGAGAAGTTATAGGCCCGGAGCATGATGACCCACCATGACCTGCCCATTTAGAAATTTGTGCTCTGATCACCCTATGAGGTTACTTTTTATGAAACCCTGTTTTTTCATCCACATGGATGAGGAAACTATCTCCTTAAACTAATTAAAATTTTGCTCGAGTTTCAGCTTGGAGTGGAGAGAATGGGTTAAAGATTTAGAATTCTCAATGAAAATATCTTGCCTACACACCCACAACAAGTGAAGTCAGGGCAATGGTTATCAGGGAGCTCGAAAGAGGCCAGGCATTCCACCCACTACTGAGCAATCAGACATGAGACACTGTGTAGGTTCAACAGGGTGAGTCCCATTTTCCAGCAAACACCCACCTTTGTGTTCAAGGTGTGTCTACAAGACAAGTTTGTCAATACAGATACACAACTGAATCTGAATGCAGAGAAGGCCAAGGGAGGCTGGATCAATTGTTAGACACACTCAAAGATCCTTGGAAGAAATTAATTAAATAGAATTTCAGGGCCTAATGAAGTTGAGTGCCCCTCCCTTGGGTAAATCTGGTGAAAACTGTTAAATGAGTAGATAAAACAAGAGACGAAGTATAGCGGGTTACTAGGTAGCATTGAACGAGCAAGCAATGGAAAGGGAGAGGCAAGTAAGCACATGGGAATACATTCTGTTGGGTTTCTATTGGATTTTGCATTGGAGCAATTCAAATCAAAGAGTTTCTCTTGAGGGGCTGTGCTGGGACTTGCAGCTCCAGACACGCTGGAGCAAGGTATCTATCTGCCTTCTAGGAGCCCAGGATCCAGAGGTTCAGACTAGACCAAGTCCCTTTCCTCAAAAAGTTACATGGAAATTTAACTAATATGCTAACTGCAATTTTACACTTTTTCCTTGTTTGATCATCATAAGAACCCTGAGAAGTAGTACTATTATCCCCACTTTGTAGATGAAGAAACCGAGGTTGTGCGAGAGGAGATGATCCCCAGAATCACAGGGCAGAACCAGAACCAGGACCCGTCTTTTTTTTTAAAGTTTGGCAATGTTCTTGGTGCCGATGAAACCACAGCGAACGAAATAGATAAAAGTCCCCGCTGTCATGTTACTCACAGTCTAGTGGGGACGATAGATGATAAACGAGAGAGAGAAGTCAAACTTAGAGTATGTTTTGCTAAGTCTGAGGGCAACACAGAGTCTGGGAGATCGGTAAGGAGGCTATTGCAGAAATCCAAGCGAGAGACCATGGTATGACCATCACGTCATTTAATCATTATGACTGTAGAATCATTACCGACGGGGTTTGTATTACAATGAAATGTGTAAGGTATGGAGGGCATTGCCTGAAGGGATTGTTGAACTCTGTCCTGTAGGAAGCTTTCGGAGATGACTCTTGAGCAGGGGCAAACTATCCCACCTGCCACATGTTCCTGTAAACAAAATGTTATTGGAACATAGCCACACCATTTGTTGACATATGTCTTCACTTTCTACAATGACAGAGCTGAGAAACTGTGACAGAAGCCATATGGTCCACAAAGCCTGAAAAATTTCTATCTGGCCCTTTACAGAAAAAAATTTACCAACCCCTACCCCTGTTCCTAAGTTGGGTTTCATAGGTAGAATAGGAGTTTGCCAGCTAGATTAGGAAAGTAAGAACATTCCAGGTGGAAAGAACCATATGGAAAAGGTCAACATCATGAGATTGTGTAGATTGTTTGGGGAAATGCAAAAAGTCGAGCATTGCTACAACCCAGCGTGTGAGCAGGTGAGCAGGCAGGTGAGCTGCAGAGGCCAAACATGAAGGGTCTCAGGTGCCAGACTGAGGATGACAACCTTGCCCTGCAGGTAGTGGGAGTCCTAGACATGTTAAAATCAGAAAGCAATGTGGAAAAAATCCCTCTGCTGCTGTGGGAGAGGTCCCTGAAGGGCACAGAGTTCACGAGGCACCTGGGTACTCATTACACTAATTATGTAGCTTCTGACTTGATGAAGGGCCATTGGGTCTTGTGCCCTCCTCAGGAAGGAAATGAGTGCAGGTGACCTTGGGCTGTGAGGCAGCAGCCACATGTTCCCATCCCAAGGGAGAAAGCCAGCCCTGACCAGTAAAGGCGGGATTTCCCCAGCTCAGGAGCTCACAGGACAGACTGGCCTGAGGAGAGGTTGGTGCTCAGGTCCAGGGGGCCAGGCAGCTTTGCTAGAAACTGGCCTGAACCTGGGTCCTGAAGGATGGTGCGGGTTTGGAAAGGCCAAGGGGAGAGCATTTCGGGGACGTGTACCAGTGAGCACACAGAGTCTGGCTTCTCAGGATGGGAGTCCACTGAGGGGTTCGTGGGGGTCAGAATGTGCAAGGCCTTCACCCCTTTCTTCTTTCTCCTGGGCTTCCCATCCTCACTGCAGTTTCTTCAGCCAGTAATTGTGAAGTACCCATTGTGTATGGCCTCACTCTTGGTGGTATGGGGACACGAAAGAGATCTCTATTCCTGTCCTTAGAGTTCACAGTTTTATACAAACTTGCTTCAAATATCCAGACAATTGTTTATCGTTTAAAAGCCCTGGGATATAAGCCAAATACAATTTTCCTGAGGAAATCATGAAATTACAGTAGATCATGTTCCTCTGTCTTACGGGATAGACTAGGGGATGTTGTAGTAACAATCAACCTACAATCTCGTTGGCGTAATACAAGTAACTGTCTTGGTTCACACTATCTGTCCAATGTAGGAAGGGGTAAGGGTCTGTTTACCGAAGTCACTCAGGACCCCAGGCTGAGGGAGCTTTTCCTCAACATCAGCTTCCATGATCATCATGGCAGGAGATCAGCACATTGTCAATCAGGCCCCAGCTCTTAAAGGTACTGCTCAGAGGTAACACGTGACTTCTGCTCCCATTTCATTGGCCGGAGCGTGCCACATGGCCATACCCAAATTTAAGGGAGATGGGAAATGCAGTCCTACCATGTGGCCAGAAGGAAAGGAACCAGAATAGTTATGAATGTCCTAAATGACTTCTATAGTAATTGACCAGGCAAAAATGTGTTATTCATGATGACAGAAACCTCTGTGCTTAATCAACTGCAAATCATATGCCCAGTCTTCAGCATAAAGTTTTCCAAAATGTATATATATCAATTTAATATGGCAACACAATCATATTTTTAGAGATTCCCAGAGGAGGGAACTAAGTGGGTCAAGGTTCTATGGGATCAAGAAGAAAGAGATTAGAATGAATCAGGACTCTCTTGATTGTAAGCGACAGAAACTCAACTCAAATTAACATAAGTGATGGGAAAGTAATCAGAGAATCTCCCAGAATTCAAGGAAAAGATGACCAGCTAAATGCTAGAGGGGCCTCAGATTGAACCAGACCCTCCATGGCCTCTGCCTTTCAGCACATCCACCTCATTCTCTTCTCTGGCTCCTTCTGCCCAGGAATGAGGAATGCAGCTCCCACGCTACCCACAGCTTTCACTGTCGGAAATGGACTGGCCTTCTTCCCTTAGTTCCTGGAAAGGACTCTAATTGGGCCAACTTGGATTGCTTTCCTTGAGCCAATCAGCTCTGGCCAGGAGTTAGGAGCTATGACTGACTCCTGGCACAATCAGCTCTGACAGACCCCGCTATAGCTGGGCAGAGGCAGAGTTATCAAAAGGGAGAGACATTGTCCCTGAATCAGACCGGCCTGAGTTCAAGTCCTGCCCTGCCAGGACCTAGCTGTGTGATATTGGGCAAATTCCTCACCTCTCGGACTCTCGATATCTTCCCCTGCATATGGCGATGATAATATCTAACTCCTAAGACAGTGGGAGAGCCTTAAGGGTCGTTGATACACCACACCCAGCAAGCAGGCATGCTCCCTGGGCAGTTGGTGAACCCATAAATTGTTCTGTTTCCTAAGCTTTACAATGGGGCTGATCATATGTGCACCACCACTCAGCGGGGAAGGCTTCGTGAGAAAGTTGAATTATAAAGGCACTGAAATGTGATGAAAGGACAAATCTTTTTATTTATTTTTTTTAATGGTTTGTTTATTTAGCAGTGGGAGAAAAGAGCCAGGAAAATAGATACCACGCAAATAGGTCTTAGGCCCTTCGCACAGTGCCTGGCACATGGGAAGCATCCCATAAACACAATAATAGTAATAAGCAGTAATAAGCAACTGGTAGGAGGCATGTGATGGTTGGGAACGCCCAGAACAAGGTAAAGTGCCAGAAGGTGCTGGAAGACGTCCCTTGACATTACTTGCACTTAGCAGATGGATCCACAGGAAATGTAGGACCTGGCCCATCTGACGGAGAGCTGTCCCGCTGAGATGGGCAGGGAAGTCCCGAGGGTCCAGGGATGGGAGCTCATGGAGGCTCAGAAATCAAATCTCAGGGCAGGAAGGACCTCCAGAGAACACCCAATGGAGAAATCTTAAAGCCCTGGTCTCCTCTGCCACAGCCCAGCTTCTAGCTGTCTCACATGTGGGACGCATTGCAGTCGACTTTCAGTTGAAGAAAGTTTACTGTGGTTTGAGGTTGTTTAAAAACCACTGATCTAATCCTATGTTCTTACTGCTGGTGGGGAAAACAAGGCCGGAGTGAGGAAAGCCCCACATTGGTGCAGCCTAAGCTACAGATTCCAACTTGGGCCAAGCCTGTTGCTGTCACTGAGCACCTGCTATTGGGCAAGACACCTACTGTGGGCCAGGGTACTGCAGGGATGTGCTAGGGTGCTGTCTGGTGTTTAGGACTCCCAAGCAGGTGGACAGGGACCATCTGGACTGTGCTGGCAAAGGGCCGCTCCTCCCCAGAAACTGGCAACAATGCCACTCCCTGTGGCAGGAGGTGGGGTCTCTGCAGGGTGAGGTCATCACTGGCTTTGTGTCTCTCACCAGAGAGAAGCGGATTTCTCAGAGGGAGTGTCCCAGGGGACTCCAGACAACTCATCTCTCTCCAGTCCAATATTTATTGATCTTTTATTCATCCTAGGCACTGTGCCAAATGTTTATAAGTGAGAACACGTTAAATTGTTTCACCATCCATAAAATAGGCATTGTTAATAAGTTCAGTTTACAAAGTAGGAGACTGAGGTGGGTAGAGATTAAGACACTAAGACACTCAGCCGGTGAGGGGTAAGGACAGGATTTGAGCCCACAGGCTAACCTGAGAGCCCTACTTTGGAGGGGGAAATAAAACCAACTTTTTTATTTACACAAAAGTTGCAGGAATAATAGAGAATTTCTGTATGTTCTCCCAGATTCCCCAATCGTTAATATTTTTATCATATTTTCCTTATAATCATCTATCCATCCATCATCTATCTATCTGTCTATCTATCTTGTTCTAAAACATTTGAGATTAAATTGAAGACATGATGACCCTTTACCTCTAAATACTCTGGTGTGTATTTTCTAAAATCAAGAACATTATCTTACATGACTACCAGCCAATGATCAAAGAAAATTAACATCGATATGATACTGTTATCTAACCCACAAAACTTATTTGGATTTTTCCAATTATCCTATGGCAAAAGGAGACCCTGGATCACACACTGCAGTTAGTCCTCATGTCTCCTTAGACTTCTTTAATCTGGATCAGTTCCCCAGCCTTTGTCTTTCACCATCTTGCCACTTTTTTAAGCCTACAGGCTGGTAACTTTGTAGAACTTCTCTCAATTTTCTTGCGATTAGATTCTTTGTATACATTTTTGGGAGAAATACCAACGGAGGTGATGCTGTGTCCTTCTTAAGGCATCATTTAGGAGAAACATATATCAATTTGTCCAATTACTGGTGATATTAACCTTGATCACTTAGTGATGGTGGTATCTGCCAGGTTTCTCCACCGCAGAGTTACTACCTTTCCATTTGTAAGTAATCATTGTCTGTGGGGAAATACTTTGAAACTATAGAAATATGTTTCTCATCAAACTTTCTTATCCATTGATGATTCTTGTTGGAATCTATTATTACTATGGTGGTTGCCTAATGATCATTTTCTAACTCCATCATTCCTACCTCTGGAAGGAGGAGCTTTCTTTATTCATTCATTCATTCATGTTAGTGTGGACTCATGGTTTCTTCTTTTATTCAGTAGGTTATAATCTGTTATTACTGTTATTTCTTTTGAAGCTCAGATTGTCCTAGATTTGGCCAGTAGGCACCCCCCTTCAAGCCAGAGAGCTCTCACTTTCAAATATGACATTGCACCATGCTTCTTGACCTTGACTAAAAAGGGAGTCACATCTTTGGGGAATAGTCCCTGCTGGATGGATACTGAAGTGCTGACCCCCTGATGTGGGCAGCTTGGGAATGGGAGCAAAGGATTTAGGCAGCATGGTGTCCTGGGGTGTTGTGTGGTCCACTAAGGATTAGGTCCACTTGGCCCTTGAGAAGCCCATAGAAAACAGAGCGTAGAGGATACCACAATCCCAATTTCGAAAATCTAGAACTATTGTACTCCAAAAAGTAAAGCGATTCTCGTAGATATGTAAATATAGGTCAAGTGGGCAATTTGGGTGGTTAGATGGTGGGATTGTTTGAGTCCCAGACAAAGCTGCCTCATCATTTGGTCACTAGGGAAGCTAGTGGGCCAATTTACATATGAAACCCAAGGCCTTTGGGAGGTAAGGGATAGATGTCACAATCCCAGGTGGACCAAGGCTCAAGGCAGGGAAAGCATAACAAGGATGCTGAAATCAAATTACTTTATGTCAAGGGAAGGGGGAGCCTTGCTGGTGCCCAGGCCTCCACACAAAGACCTCCTAATTGGAGAGGCCCTGTATCCTGGGCAGTAAAATAAGGTAAGTACTCTGATGTTACCTTCACAGAAGAGATGGCTCTTGAAGTGATGGCAGGCACTTCAGGCAGTGGGACCAGCATGAACAAAGGAAAGGGAGAATAAATGGCAATACTCCCCCATTTGGCCCCCAAAGCTAGCTCTTTTGGGTAGGGCTCTTGGCACCGAACACATACCTCAGTTTATGCTGGGCCCTACCCAGCTGGGCATAGCCCCAAACATCCAGACCAGGAATCCGTCAGACCCAGATTCAAATTCCAGTTCTTGTGCTTCCTAGCTGCGTGACTTTGGAAAGTCACTTTACCTCTCTGCGCCTCCACTAATTTGTTTCCTCAACATGTATTTACCGAGGGCTTACTCTGTACGGAGCACTGTCGTAGGCACGGGACAAGCAGTGGAGAACAAGATTAGACAACATTCTACTTTCATGAAACTTACACCTGGTTGAAAGACAGACAATAAACAGTAAGCAAATACATAAATAAGATAATACCTATATCTAAATAAGATAATACCCTACAGAGATATTAAGGTTATATAAAAAATGTTAGAGGTGGGGGTTCCTTTAGCCAGAGAGGTTAGGAAAAGCCTCTCTGAGGCAGAGACATCTAAACTGATCTGAAAGATGAAAACGAGCCCAGTAGTGAACGAACAAGGAAACAGCAAGTGAAAATGACCTGTGGCAGGAATGAACTGAGTGGGTTTGAGGGACAGTAAGAAGGGCAGTGTGGCTTAAGACTAGTGGATGAGGGCAGAGTGGCAGGAAGTGAGGCTGGAGAGGTAGCTAGAGGCCAGATGGGTTAGGGACCTGTAAACCAAAGACAGGAGTATTGTTTATATTCTAAATGCACAGGGAAACTAGAGCCGGTGTTAAGCTTTGAGAGGAACATTGTCTGGTGTGTGAAGAAAACATTTAGAGGCAAAGTAGGAGCTATCAGAAGGCTGCTGCCATTTTCCAGGTAAGATGATGGTGCCTAGACCAGGTGGTAGGACTGGGGGTTGGGAGAAGTGGTCAGGTGCAGAGATAGTGTTAGAGGCAGATACGTGACGCTGGAAGGGAGAAAGAAGGATGGAACAAGACTCCGAGGATTGGGCTTGAACAACTGAGATGGGGAAGAATGGGGGTACGGGTTGCTGCGGCAGGGTTGATAATCAGGAGGTGGATTTCGGCTGTGTAGTATTTTCAGCCCCCATCTGGCACCCATGTGGAGGCTCGCGGTGGAACTCAGAGAAGCCGTTTCGCTCTGGAATTACAAATTTGGGACTCGGGCATATAGATGACATTTAAAACCACGGGACTGGATGAGATCATCAAGGAAGAAGGTGTAGGTCGAAAGGAGAAGAGGCCTGGGACTGTCGACTGTAAAATGAGACGAACGACACCTTCACCCACGCGGCTCTCGCGAGGAGTCACGTGAACGCTTCCAGCTCGCGGTCTAACTGGGGGTGAGAACCTCGGGGCCTGGGT